TGTGCAAAATTGGCAGGGTCAGAACGGTGCAGTGGTTTGGGATGACCCTACCAATCCACTGGGCAGGGTTCGAGTCCCACACCTGTACGAGAAGCTGGTGGCTGCCACCGGGACTTTTGTCCTGGCTTAGGGGTACTCTAGCAAACAAAAATGCGCCGGCGACGTCAAGACAGTCCACCAGCGGATATGGGTTTTACTTATGAAAGTTTTCGACCTCCTATATTTTATGATTGAAAACAATATCAACTACTAGTGGAGCAGCACTGGCGTGTTGCTAATTCGGGCGATCGTCTAAAACTCTGTATATACACAATTTTGGCGCGCGCCCCTTCACGTAAGCTTTTCACTGGAAAAGATGGCCAAGATGAAGACAAGCACGTCCGCAGGAAGCAAGCAGAGATCGGCAAAAGACGCTTCCTTTGCGCCTGTGTCAAACGCAGGTATGTGCATCAATAGATCTTAACTATTAAATCCATTCATGCTATCTAAGTGCGATGATTTTGTCAAATCGAGTTGTAGAAACTACAAACAACTCCAAATGTAGCTCGAGTTTTCCAAGTGCGACGAAAGGAATAGTTTATGTCTTCAATGAAGCGAAGGCTGGCGGCGAATCAGTAAAAGAAACTGGCACAGCCCCGTCGTACACGACGACAAACCGCAAGACCGCGCAACACGTGCTCGTGCAGTCAAAGCTGCGAAGTTGCAACACCGTAAGGTCTATCGTCGTGCCGTAATAGAGATTTGGCGGGCTAATATGGACATTCAGTTAGTTGGAAATGCTTCACCTGTAATTAATCAGTTGCCATCCTCAGAATATGTGTATATTGCTACAGAGATTGATCCTGCGGTTGAGTTAGCTGGGCTACCAGTAGGGAGCAACACTTCAGCGTCTCAATGGATTCCGAAGCATGTGTACACCGCGGATGATGTTGAAAGAGCTCGTGGATTTATCAAAAATTACGTTAAGCCATGGATGAAAATTCAACGAGATAAAAGACGATCACAGTCGTCAATATCCGGGAATTCACTTCAAAGCCATTATATGTATCCCATACAGTCTTCGGAAGATTGTGCATGTCAAACGGAAAGTATGGATGATTCGCAGTGGATACCATTTGCCATCGCGATGGCCCAATCTCGTAAACGTCACCGGTCAATGATAGAAAAAACATTCTGTGAGCCAATGCAGATAGTTATACATGGGGAGGGAGGATCCGGCAAAAGCTGGTTAATTAAGCACATTGTAAAGGATATCCATAATGTCTTCGGTGAACATACGACGAGTAGAACAAATTCAAAACGTGTTTTGCTATTGGCACATCAGGGAACGGCCGCGTTTAACATCAAAGGGCGATCAATATGTTCAGCATTAGAGTTTACTTCATTTTCTCGTAATCAATTTTCTTCTCAATATACACCGTTAGCTGCACTTAAAGGGGGGCTACTAAGCTTAAAAGATTACAAGATGAATTTACCTCGGTTCATTTGATTATTTTCGATGAATTTAGTGTGATTTCATGCGGAATGCTTTATTGGATTGACCAAAGACTAAGAGAAATTTGGCCAACTTTTAGTCACTTATCATTCGGAGGCAGGGATATTGTTTTTACAGGAGCACAGCTTGATCCTGTAGTCCATACTCTCTTTCCACACCTGCTTCAAAACTCAAAAATCCAATTCAACGCTTAGGACGTGAAATATGGGAAAACATACCCAATGTGTGTATTTTAACAAGTCAAAACAGAGGTAAAATTGATCCAGAATGGTTTTCAGCGTTAAGGCGATTACGAGAAAATAATTTCACAACGAAAGACTTAGATTTATTCAATAGTAGGTATGTTCGAGAGCATCAAATGCCGGAATGGGCTCCTACTGCAAAGCATATAGCATACAAAAATGCAGATGTAAACGAAGCAAATCATCGCAGCTTGCATGCAAACTCTATTAAAATCCTTAAAATTCAATCAAAGCATCGCGTACAGCTAGAACGACTCGTAAAGCAGCGAGATATCCAGCAAAGTACGATTGACTCATTACTACAGGAAGCCCAAGAAAAAAATTCTTCGAGAGACAGAGTTGTTGGTACGTCAATTGAGCTTGCCGTAGGTGGATATTGTGCTTACCCACCCTTTGACATCCAACATGCTAACCATGTCCAGAGAAGCAAAACAAACTTTTATGAACGAGCAGTTTCGTCTCCAAGAGGCAGTCAACATAACAATGTCTACTGTAAGTTCGATTATAGACAACATGAAGATAATCGATATGCAGCTTGACGCACGCGAATCGCTAGAACATCCTTACCTATATTGCCATAAGCACGAGGAACAATTAGACAAACAAAATCTCTATTACGGCACGACGATAGACCTTACGGTGTTGCAACTTCGCAGCTTTGACTGCACGAGCACGTGTTGCGCGGTCTTGCGGTTTGTCG